TGGGGGGGGGGGGAATATTGCTGAGATGGTAAGAATGATGGGGAAGGGAAAGCAGGCAGCAGGGTAAGTGGGAAGGGGTGAGAGAGCAAAGAATTCAAGAGGCTGGGGGAAGGAATGTAAGTTGTATCAGATAGCGCCTTCAGGAGTAATTGGGGTAGAATGTTGGGTCCCTTCCTGTAGGCCCAGGTCTGCCCTGCCCTGCTCTTGAGTCCCCAAGAAGCACTGAGTGATTGGCAGGCATGTCTGGAAGGAGTGTCCCCTAAACAAAGGGGAAGCTGCCCACCAAACAGTACAGAAGAGGCAAATACACGGTTATCCCCGTTGTCCTAGCTGGGATGGGTGTTGACGGCAGGTCAGTCTTGGTGTTGCCGGGGAAAGAAACCCCTTTCCCACAGCTGCCAGCTGAGGAGAGGTGGGCTGAGACTGGTTTCTTAGATTATTGTCCTCTTTTGAGGAGACACTTCACAGTTCCCTGCAAATATCCCAAGAAGGCTTGAGCTCTGAGAATCAAAGAACTGAAAAGTGTTACTGTGGTTTATAGGTGGGGAGTAGATGTCAGGGAGAGAGCACTAGACCAGGAGAAGACAAAAAGTGTGCGGGGGCCCCCCACAACTGCGCTGGCCTCTTGTTCATTCCTTTTAACTCATTTATGGGCACACACGGAAGAACTTTGAAATCGAGGAAATGAAGACGGCCTTCGGAAGCATGATGAGGAAAGGCATTTGTAAACCTGCGCTTAGACCTCTGGGGGTTAAATCTGAAGCCCCACTGACACCCATCCCACTTTTGTGAACTGGATGGGGAAATGAATAGAACCGAATGACTACACGAGACCTTGGTCGTCTCATGCCCAGGAAGTAAAACAGTGAAAGCCGTGGAAGTCCTCTGGCCAAAAAAATGAGGGTAGATTCTTAGAAGCCAGAGGGTCAGATCAAAGGAGAAATGCTCTTCTGACTGCAAAGTAACCACCCGCATCCCAACCCACATTAACACCCTGAGTGCAGAGGGGCTCAGGGGCTGAGGGGCTGAGGCCCTCTCCATGCCAGAGCCTTGCCTCTGAAATCAGCGTGGCCCAGTCAGCTCCCTGCCCCTTTCTGCTCTCAGCTGGGGCAGGCTGTGGGAGAAACAGAAACCTGGGGTGTGGGGGTGAGTCTGATTATTATTAGGACGAACCATATGAAATTGTTTTTCTATGACCACTTTTGGCCGACAACAACTATTTCACATCAACTTATTATTGAAAAGAATTGTAGTGATATCTGCCATTTATGGAACACCTAGATTGTGCCAGAAACTTTATGCATATCATGTTGTTTATTCTCCCCCACAACCCACAGAGGTAGATAATATCCTGACTTCAGAAGGGGCCCTTTTGAGCTGGAGGCACCTCTGAGGACGGGGAGAGGCAGCCACATCCAGGAGTGCCTGCTGGCGTTCACCCCGCCCCCTCCAGCCTGCTCTACAGCTCCCCCAACTCCATTGATGGCGAAGGGCTCTGGGCCGCTCAGGGCTCTCTGGCTGTCTTGCGTGGCTGTCTTGGATCCCACTCCACCCATGAGCTTCTCTGTCCTGAGTGGGGACCACAACTGTGTCCACCTGAACCTGAACCTTCCTTTTTTCCTGCTGCTGCCCAGGAGGGACACACACACACCCACACACACCCCAGAGCACCATAGCCCTTCTCCGTGCCTTCCCTGCGCTCCCCACTCCCACGTCACCCTCGCCCACCCC